ATCTTTCTTCTTCATTTGTGTTCTTCGGCTATATTATGTCTTACCGGGTCAGTTGGTTCGGGTTCAGAGTGGTTTTGGAGTGAATTGAGACACTTAATCTCTTTTTGTGAAGGCTTAAGTTAATAAAGTTGACCAGATATTGACTTATGTGTAAACAATCTTGGATTTGAATTTTGATTGTTCTGTTAGCTTCGTTAGGTGATTTTGGATTCGGGAGCGTATCCAGAATGTGATTTAGAGGTCCATGGTAGAATTAGGCTTGAATTGGCGAAAGTTAGAATTTTGGCAATTTTGGTCGTTAGTGGAAATTTTTATATCGAGGTCGGAATGAAATTCTGGAAGTTGGAATAGGTTTGTGATATCATTTTTGACTTGTGTGCAAAATTTGAGGTCATTCGGACGTGGTTTAGTGGGTTTCAGCATCGTTTGTGAAATTCAAAAGTTTAGAAGTTCTTAGGCTTGAATCAAAGTGTAATTTGGTGTTTTGATATTTTTTTGAGTGATTCGAAGGTTTGACAAAGTTTGTATGATGTTATAGGATGTGTTGGTATGTTTGTTTGAGGTTCCGAGGGCCTCGGATGTGTTTTAGGTGGTTAACAGATCATTTTTTGCCTTAGGATGTTAGTTGAACTGCTGGTATTTTTCTGTTGCTGGTTTCCTCTTACGCATTCGCGAAGAGCATCTGTAGATTGAGGGATAATTGTTCTTTGTGTTCGCGAAGTAAGGGACGCGTTCACGAAGGTTCAGGAGTAGAGTGCATCACAAACACGAGAGGAGTACCGCGTTCGTGAAGAAGAGAAGATGCAGCTGGGAATCCCGTCTATTTGGTCAACGCGTTCGCGAGGGGTGGTCGTGTTCGCATTCGCGATTGGTTGAGCTGGTAAAGCTTCACGTTCATGAAGCGAAGGTCGCGTTCGCGAAGAGTAAATTGAAGAGGTAGTCCAAGTGGTCTACGCGAACGCGAGAGTGCTGTTATGTTCACGAAGAAGAAAATCTGGGGAGGCAGTGTTATATTCAAAATCGAGGGTTTGAGCCCATTTTTCATATTTTGAGCTAGAGACCACAGATTTGGGCAATATTTGAATGCATTTTCAGGGAGTTGATTAGGGTAAGTGTTCCTCACTTGATTTTGGTAAATTTCATGATTGTATCTTGATTTCTATCATCTAAATTGGGAATTAGGGTGAAAATTGGGTGGGGGGGTGGAAGAGTTCTTGAGATGGAATTTTGGTGTTTTGAAGGGGATTTTGTTGTCGGATTGAGTAAAATTGGTATAATTAGACTCGTGAGTGAATGGACTTTTTAGTTTTGTGATTTTTGTCGGAGTTCGAGACGTGGGCCCGAGGGCCGGGTTTGAGTGAATTTCGAGATTTGCCCTATAATTTGGTATTTTTTTGGTGGAATTAGTTCCTTTAGCCTATATTGATCGTATTTTATTGCTTGTGGCTAGATTCAGAGAGTTCGAAGGCTGAATCGAGAGGCAAGGGCATTGCGAAGTAAGCTTTTTGCTCGGTTGAGGTAAGTAACGCTTTCAAACTTGGTTTTGAGGGTTCGAAACCCCGAACTACATGTTATATGGTTAGTATTGAGGTGACGCACATGCCAAGTGACGGGAGTGCGGGCGTGCACTGTGAGAATCATGACCTAGATCATTCCATGGCACCGTTTAATGATTATTTCTTATTGATATCTATATTTCTATTATGTGATAAAGTAATTAAGCTATAAAGCATGCTAGATATCATGTTAGGGCTTTCACGCCGATACTGTTGGGATACCTAGAGATTGTTTCTTGCTGTCATTTTACTGATTTCACTGTTATTTTGTACTCAGTCATATTCATGCATTTCATACCACATCTCAATCTCAGTTGTTATTATTTACTTAGTATATCATTATTTACGGGCTAGTTTTCATGACATTGTGAGCCCGTGGGTGAGACTGGAGAGTAATGACTGAGTGAGGCCGAGAGCCTAATTCTTAGTGATAATTATGGGATCGGGTTGCACGCCGCAGTAGTTATATTGATTATGATAGTGCTTGGGTCGTAGGAGCCCCTCTGGGGTTTGCACGCCCACAGTGGGCGCGGATGATATTATTGAAGGATGGATTTCCCTGGACATGGATTTGTTCGAAGTATATATACCTAGAGATGGATTTCTCCTCAGGGTTGGATTGCCCTTTTTCCTCGGTACTGAGTAACTCATAGTCAGTATTGTATATATTCCGGGATGGATTTTCCTGGGCCGAATGGCCATATCCAGTACCGAGTGATTGAGCACTTGAGAGGGAGAGTACATTGTGCATTTCACACAGTTGGTGCATTGGCATGTAGAGGCAGTTGAGTTATATATTTTAAACTGTTCAAAACTGTATTTACCTTATTACTTTGAGTTGTCTATTTAACCTAAAACATGCCTACGTTTCTATATGTTGTTTCTATTATATCTGTTGAGGTTGAGTTCGTCACTACCATTCAGTTCATAGTTTGGACTCGTTAATTACTGAGTTGGTGTACTCACGTTACCCCCCGCACCTTGTGTGCAGATTCATGCACTTTTGGACCCAGTGACAGTTGTTGATTGAGGCTTCAGGCTTAGAAGATTATTGATGTATATGCACGGCGTTCACAGCCCTTGGCTCTCCTTCTTATTCTCCAGTTGAATTTCAGTTGCTTCTTTATACATTGTAATAGACCATGTATTTCCCTAGACGCTCATGCACTTAGTGACACTCTGGTTTTGGGCTGGATTGTATCTTATCTTGGAATTTCTTATGTTTTAATCGGTTTCTTTAAATGTTAAAAGCTTCCATTAATGTTTTTAAACTTATTGTTGTTGTGTTGGTTTGTTGAGTTGAGGCTGGCCTAGTTAGGCGCCATCACGACGGGTTGAATTTTGGATCGTGACAATTTATATCCGCACTACTCCTCCATGCCCCTATTGCCAGTACAACTCCTGAGCTCTGCTCTTAGTCAAGGCTCTCCACTTAATCTTAAGCTGACCATGGACTGCTGTCTTCTTCCTCTTCCCTTTGATCTCTAATAATTATTAATTGTTGTTAAAAAGTGAATAGTTATACTAAGTACAAATTCTGGTTATAAAAGGTTACACCACTACATCTTTTTTAAAAGATTTTTTCTACCACAACAACAGTTAGTCTCTATTTTTATTTAACCATCTGATACGAAATTTATTGGCTCGACTATTTCACATTCATTTTCCATTCCAACGTTTAAACTCGAGATCTCTAAACTCTAGTTAGAGAAATCTCATCCATCTCATCACATTCCTTTATGGCTAGGAGCGTGGTTAGTGATTAGGATTCTAATCCTTATACACAATTTAGACTAATATCTACTAGTACATTTAATTGCTAGCACTAGCTAATATCAATATAATTTTATATCAAAATCTTGATATTATTTAGTGCATTGGAGGTGAGAAAATAATAAAAGAATTAGTTATCCCTAGAGAAAGGTGTCAAAAAGGCAATACTGCCCCTAATAGCTTTTATGCTTCACCTATATTCGAGATTAATAGCCTGTTTGGCCAAGCTGGAGAAATCAGCTTATTTTGAGAAGTGCTTTTTTCAAAAGTACTTTTTGAGAGAAGCAGTTTGTGTTTGGCTAATCAGTCTGAAAAGCACTTTTGAGAAATAATTTGTGTTTGGCCAAACTTTTTAGAAAGTGCTTTTAAGTGTCAAATTACAAATAAGGACATGAATAGATTTACTTAATAATTAATATTATAAGTAAATAAATAATATCAAAATTTTGTTATTACATGCAATAATTAATAAAAATTCATTTTATTTAAGTAAAATATGAAAATAAAATTAAAAAGTACTTAATTCTTTTACTATAAGTTAAATATATTAAAATTCCTTCAACAAATATAAAAACATTCACCCCTAAAGTCACTATACATTAGAAAGTTTTCCTAAAAATAAGAAAAAATATTTATAAATTAATATCCTAAGTATTAGGTTTAACGGTTATTTTGGTATATACTATATTTTATTAAGGGTATTTTAGGTAAGAAGAAAAGCCAAAACTGCTTTTGCTTCTGCTTTTGGAAAGAAGCTACTTTTTTCTGCTTCTGCTTTTGGAAAGAAGCTACTTTTTTCTGCTTCTCTGAAACTGCTTCTGCTTCTTCCCAAAAGCACTTTTTCCCAAATAAGCTTGGCCAAACATCTCAAATTAGAAGAAAAAAAAGTGCTTTTGAAAAAAAAAATAAGGCAACGGGTTTTGGTCCCGCTATTCGGAGGTTCGAATCCTTCCGTCCCAGAACATATATATATTCTATGAGAATATAGATTGCTTTTTTAACAATGTTCTGTTTAAAATCGAAATGTTAGCTGGAATGTGATTGTTGTTTCTGATTTTTTTCTTCGATGAATCATTTTTTTTTCAAAAACGGAATCGAGATGCGAAAGAATCTATATTCCCTATCTCGTATTCTCTATCCCCTAAATTAGCCTAATTAGATTCCATTTTCTTTTTTGTGGATTTCTTGACTTTTTTCAAAAATACTTTTTTTCTCTTGAGAAGCTTAGCCAAACAGACTATAAATTTGAAAACAAAATTTCACTCAAGTTCATTCAACTTTAGATCAAATACATGTTTTGAATTATGCACAGTACCTCTCTCTAATTTCAATAAACCGAACAAAAAACGTACAAATTACTCCACGAATTATTAATATCAATATTAAAATTCTAGCATTTTAATTTTTACATATCTTTGTGACTTTGTCAGCAAACCAAATGACCCAAGCCCTTTCCAATTAGGAAGAGCGTAAACATGATTGAAAACTGTGGCTTAAAACTTATACTTGAAATGACAATATTAATTTAAAATTACGGTAAAAATCGATAAACTTCAAATTTTGAATCCGAGACATGTACACCAATACCGAGAGGCAGAGGGGTTGGAAACAAACAAGAAAATGATAGTTAAAATGCAACTCATAATACATGATATTACAAACTTTAATTTNAAAAAAAAAAAAATAAAGATAAACAATCTGAAAAAGAAAAGAGGAAGCAGCCATAGACTAAGCATCGTAGGGTGTTTCGTGCACGATGGACCCCTTCATTTCTTGTGCAAATAGGGATCTACGCCAATAAATTTGGGATATCGTTCGGCATTAATGTTGCTGGTCGTTTGGTCATAGTACTCAACCGCTGCAGCTCCCGCTAACGCTGCAAGTGTAAGTGCCTGTGCGTGCAACCTAAAACAATCAACATTAACAACAATCTTCTAATAGCACGTATAATTTTTTTTCAAAAAAAACGTGAAGGAAACATATCATCAAACAGGTACCTGGCATGGATGAGCCTAACGCTGGTTTTCATGTTAGGTTTTGACCAATTGTAAGCGATCGATCCCGTTATTCCACTCAACCATAGACATCCTTTACGAAGCAGAAATTTCAAACATTAGCCGAACAGAAAAATAGAAATTTCCAGCATTAAACATAAAATGGATTATCTAAGAGTTTACCGACGGTGCGAAGCTTGTGCTCGATAACCCACTTTCTGACAGATTCAAAGGAGGAGTGTTGGTTAGATTCCGCCATCTTTAGATCACAATCAACGGAGAATCTAGAATTATCTTAACAAAAGCTGCAATGAAATAGAGGAGCAAATATAGAAATGCTTGCTGACTTTCAAAAGGCAAGGCGTAGGCTTCCCCTTTAATAGTCTTCGATTTTTCAGGTTCGAATGAGGCGGCGGAAGAAAGAGAAAGACGACTTGGAATTTACAACCTGTGGGAAACCAGTGGGCGCGCATCTTTTCCGCGTGTACAAAACAAATGCTGTTTCTATTCGCCACGACTTCTTTTGGACTTCCCTATTTCCTTCTTTTTTTTTAATTATTATTATTATTTTTTTTTTTTTTGGTGTCATCAAATAACTCATTTCTAAGTAATGAGAATAAGCCGCTAAGTATCTGCTAAAAGTCAAACTCCCTGTTCATTAGAATGTAAAAATACTTTCTATTTCTTATCTCACGATCCAATTTTTCATTGACGGTTTTATTAATGGAATGTTTATTTGGTCTACATTATTAGTGTATTCTAGAAATTTTCTTGCATGTGTTTGTTTACCGTAAAATGGTACAGCTGAATTTATACGTGATTTATAGACAAGCGAATCAATTTGATCCAAAAATAATAAATAAATTAAATAAGAATGTAAGATTTAGCATTGAAATCGAGAGAAGACAATAGAGAGCTTGGTTCCAGAGCAGAGATTTCGAAGGCAGTAATAACGATGTTAAGAAGCAAGAAAATAAAATGTTATTGAGCTTTGAATAGTATAAATCATAAGTTTGTCCAAAAATTCATCTCTTTATAATGGTTGTTGGAATCCTTATTTATAGTGGCACCTAGGGAACAAGGTCCTAGGATCAAACCCCTCTTAAATGATAATTATGGGAGTCATTGATGAATGTGTAACGGCAGGCTATGAATGTCATATTCTCTATAACGGACTATGTATTTAATACTGTAGAATATCGGGTGACAGGTATTCATTTATCTTCATGAGCAACATTACCTTTGGGGGCTTCTCGGTGCCAGCCGAGACTGCTGTCCCCAGTCTTGACTTCCACCTGTCTCGCTTTCTATCTGTCTCTGGTTCCACATTTCACTCTATTATAAGAGCATTTAATATGAACCGATTTTACCCTATACAGATTGTCCCCCTGCTTTCTGGTGGTACATCCTTGTGTCATCGGGAAATTGGTAAAGATACCTTTCTTGGCGAAAAATGTCGTGCGGCCCCAGGTAACGCCTAGTTACTCCTTCTGAAAAATTTCTGACGCTTGATTAGGCGCACGTCTCTCCGCATTTAATGCCCCGAACACGCGTCATCCTATGATTCAGCAATACTTTCGTCGGTTCTCGAGGTAATCATGGCCACGATTTTAATCGCCTATTCCTTTACTTATACGCTTCCATCTTCTTCTCTTACACTTCATAATTTTTCGAACTCTCTCAAACTTTTTTTACTCAACTCACTCTTATTTTTAACTTCCTTCTTCAGAGAAACCCTTACTTCCTTCTGCTAACTATCGCCTCCTCTTCCAGAAACTCTAGCTCTTCAAAGAACAAATAAAGCATTGATGACACTGCTCCTCTTACGGTGAGCACCATTAACCCCAAAAAACTTACTACGACTAAGGACTTCGAAGAGAAATTCTCTTCTTCTAACTCCCGCACATAGGCTGTTGGTGTATACTATTCTTCCATCCGTCCTTCTAACATCCTTACTGTGAAGAAAGACTGTGGTTGCCATGACTTGAACAGCATCGCTCATGACCTAGCGGAGCGGGTAACCTTCCCAAGAACGGTTTTATGTATGTTTATACGTACCCCTTCACTTTGGGCCTGTTTTCATTGAGAAAGGGACTTGACTCCGTAATCTTGGAGTACTGCCTCCGCTATCAAGTCCTTTTGGCTCAGATGAGCCTTTTTGTGTGGCGGGCGGTAGTTTGTCTTCGGCGGTTATGTATCAACCCCTTAGGGAGGGTGCTACTTACAAAACAAATCTAATTTATTACATACAACATTAAGAAGATATTAGGTAAAAAAACATTCAAATTAATTTAGTAGCGAAAATAGGCCCATGCGGTAAGGTTCAAAGTGCAATATTTTTTTTTTTGAAAATACACTCCATAATTCTTTTTAAAATGAATTACAATGTCAAAAAATCAACATAAGATGATATAACCCTTCTTGAATAATCAACACGTTAAAGCAACTTCCTAATAAAATTATACTTTCATTCAACATCACTTCAAGTTTGTATTGTACATAAATTTAAAACTATCGGGTATAGAAAGAAAAACTAATTTTCTCCTTTGTACATATTTACAAGACAAAGTATAAATTCAGCAAATTACAAGACTTGAGTTATTAACACACCCTAAAACAACAAAATTATAAGTACCAAATTCAAGTTACAAGATTTTGGTCTTAAGATCCAACAAGCCTCCAAATAACATACATAAGTGTGACATATATATATATATATCTTGTACATGTCCCAAAACAATATTAAACCAATGTGCATATGCAAATGTGATCTCCATAAGTGCTACCAAAAAAACTTCTTCATAAGGCCGTCTTCAAATTTCATCCTGCACGTTACCTATGATAGAAAACAACTATCGCTAAGCATAAATCTTAGTGGCGTATAAACTTTAGGCTTGGAGCCATTAAATTCTCCAATTCTCCTTTACAGTCATAGGTAGCTCAAATTTAACATAATTTAAAAACAAGTGAACAAATATATCAAAAGTGTCAAATATCAAACTAAGCATAATTAGATATCAAGATGGACCGAAACCCCAAATCAAGTAGGGTCAAAACTCAATAATCAAGAGAATCAAGAACCATATTAAAAATGGCTTCCTAATTCATACTTAACATGGACAAGTTCCATAATATAAGATGTTACACCCTGCAATATTACGATGATGTTACGTCCTGCAGTATTATATTACGATAATGTTACGCCTTACAGTATTACATTACGATGATGTTACGCCTTGTAGTATTGCATTACCATGATGCTACGCCTTGCAGTATTACATTATGGTGATGTTACGTTTCGTAGTATTAAGTTACGACGATGTTGCACCTTGTAATATTGTACGTTGAATTTGTCGTAAGGTAATTGACATCAGTCCAAGGAAAAGATTATTTGGAGATTATAAGGATTATAAATGATGAGTAAATTCATGAAGGTGAGAGGGGAAGCAAGTCGAAGAAAATAAATTTCGTCAAAGTTTGGCATTTTGGGATAAAATACGGCCGAGCTAAAATACTCGGCATTTATGGACTAGTGCCATACAAGGTACTATATGACCATGCTAGTAAGGTGTACCAGGTATGTTAAAAGAGAGTAGTATTTTAAGTAAGTTGAGATAATTCTTAATTATGCGGGTAATTGATTAATTATCGGATAACAGGACATTACCTAATTAATTGGGGATATATTAGATAATTATTAAAAAGCATGAGGTGGCAGCCCTCCATGCAATTGGAATGACTCATATCTCAATTTTAAAGGTGGCAAATTTTGGAAGGGGTCTTTGCTAAGTCATCACCTAGTGGGGCCCACACCCACTAAGGAAAGACTTCCTAAAATTCAACTAAATTCATTCAAGAATGTGATCATTCTTACAAAGAAAGTGTACTGCAATTTCACAAGAATGATTAAGTCACCATCTTCAAATCTAATTCACAAGATACGTGAATTAAAGCTAAGGTGCAATTTCACAAGAATGATTAAGTCACAATCTTCAAATGTAATTCATAAGAAACGTGAATTAAAGCTAAGGTGATGGATTTTGGGCAAAATTTTTATACAAAGTTATACTACGTAATAGCAAGGGGATTTGCAGTTCTAAGATAGTACTGTACAATCTTTTTCAAGAACAACATGCGCATTTTCTCCTACTTTGTTCCGTTGTTACGTGTTATTGCAATCAACGAGTGTTAGAGGGATTGTCAAAAGAATCGGTTCAGGTATGTTATGGCTATCCCTTCTTTCTTTTGGCATGATCTATACGACACAAACAAACCAAGCAAATACATAAATTCCATAAATGACTCTATTCATAGAAGTATTAGAGATATCTATGTTCTTGAATTTTCATGTGTCATAATATTCTATCATTTGTTCATGGGTCTCAGAAAAATACGAAAGTTGAAAAGAGTTTACTTTATGATATTACTCAAAGGCAAAATGGTCATATGACATTCCGAAAGATTTTATTAACGTACTTTTCATGCATTGCATTCATGTACATTGACCCATGACCAGATGACATTATATACACATATATATATATATGTATGTATATATATATATATATATATATATATATATATATGTATGTGGGATATGGGAAAGGTTATGGTGTTATATACGTACAACCACCTGATCAACTGGTATACGTTGATAATTTTGCCCCCGGTGGCCGAGATGATAGGATGGGACGCCCTCAAAGGCTGATGATGTTATGAAACATGTACCGATGCACGACATGACATTCATACGCATATGCATGACACTATAATTATTTCATGAGTTACAAAGTTTTCCAGACTTATAGGTTGAGTCATTTACTCTATATTTCTTCCATGTCTATTATGTACTTATTTATGTGCCTTACATACTCGGTACATTATTCGTACTGACGTCTCTTTTGCCTGGGGACATTACGTTTTATGCCCGCAGGTCTCGATAGATAGGTTTAGAGCTCTCCAAGTAGGCTATCAGCTCAGGGGAAGAAGTTGGTACGCTCCATTTGCTTCGGAGTTGTTTGTTTGGTTAGTATGATTTAGATGTGTATTGTTTGGTATGGCGGGACTATGTCCCGACCTTTACGAAAATTATGTATTCTTAGAGGCTTGTAGACATGTCATGTACGTAAAAAAAATTTACAGCCTTATCGGCCTATGTTAAGTACACGAGTGGTTATTTTGGTCTTATAGGCCCGTACTTTATATGTATAAGTTTGTATTCCCTTATGCTCTACTCCGGTTCATTTACCTATGATGGAATAGTATGAAAGTTATGTTACGTTGATACTCAGTTGAGTAAGGTACTGGGTGCCCGTCGCGGCCATCTGTTCGAGTCGTGACAAAAACGAACTATAAATCCAAAGTCAAGATAGCAAAAGATCCGAATCAAGAGGCATGCCAAGATGAATGACAAAGTCATTGCCACAAGAAGGACAAAGTCTCAATAAGAATGCAAAATGATCAAGCAATCCGTACGAGTGGGCGATTAAACGAATATCTTACAATACGTGATATAACACGAATACAACAATATAAAGAAGACAAGAAAATTAAAAATTAATCAGGTTGTTTCAAAATATTCCAGCAAGCAAAAAAGAGTACAAAGAGAGGAGCAACTTGAGCTTCACCAAGAACGAGTTTTGCTGGTTGGTTTATTGGAAATTTATGATGGTTTTTATGAAGTTTTTCAGGTGTAAGGAGAGAGTATAGGAGTTTTCTTTGTCTTGAATGAATGAATTATGAAAGGAGTTTATGGAAAAGCAAGTCAATCAAAATAATCTTTAAAAACTTTGGGTAAATATGAAATAAAAGAGGCTGCCCCGACTACTAAATATCTTTAGATAAATATAAAAGAGTGGCAATCCAAAACCTTAATTATCTAATGTATTTAATAACAATTCATCAAATGGTATTAAGTGTTACACATAGAACAACCATGAAACTTCTTTGTCAATATTAACACAACCTAGAGTAAGAAATTTTCATATATTGTTAATTTCACATTTAGGAAACTTTGGGGTATTACAGGTTATGCTAGGAGACGGGGAATAACTCTCCGTGGCTCGATTGATGAACCTTTATTCCAACAAAATTTTTCGTGGGGGAATGATAAATTTCAGCAAACGTGATCATCATGCTTTGCTCACCAACATGGATGACAACAACGACCGTGGCTGGATGGAGTGGTTCGTTGTAGTTGCCACTAGGGACATCATCCCGACCACAACTCCATCCTTTCCTAAATCATGGAATCGTACACGTAAATTCAACGCCTATCCTTTCTTCTGGTTAAAGGTTATTTCATGCTATCATTGATCCTTCTTTTTCCATTATTTCAGCAACCCAGTGGACACCACCAAAGGTTGAAGGCTTGGATCAGTGGGTTGAGAAAATTTTGGATGTTACCATGCCTGAGACCTGCAAGTGAAAAGGACTGGCCCTCAAATACGAGTGGAAGGCTAAAAATCACGGTAAGTTGATTCTTGAGTTTAACTTGTTCTTTATCTCACATATAAGGAAACTAGCCTGATTCTATTTGGATACGTTTGTTGTTTGAGTGAGACTCAGCCATTTTCATTCTTAATCTCATCATTTTGCATATGTTGCAATCGAACTATGCTTTGACCAAATTCCATTTGGATACGTAGGCTGCCTCGGTCAGGCTTGGTTATCTTCATCAGATTTTATCATAATCCACGAACTACGTTCAGACCTGATTCTATTTTAGATATGTAGGCAACCTGAAAGGATTCGGTCATAGCCTTAGGAAGGCCTTGTAATGCATTAATTTGAATTAGGACGTAGTCATGATAGCAAGTAGCCGTGTTATGAAGGAGCATCACGGAAAGTCGACATCAACAGAACAAAGTTCTCAAGAGAATACGCTCGTGTGTGGAGAACCTTTCTTAACATGTCATAATCTACTCCGACGCAACGGATGCTAGAATAGACAGTCGCAAACCTCGTCGCCGATGTTCTGCCAATCGATGACCGCAACTTAGCTTCGCAGTCAAGAGTATCTCTTAGGCATGCTTTCATTTCCTTTGCTATTACTTTGAATATTTTGATGTTTTGCTCATGCAGCTTCAGGCATAATTACGATTTTAGTCAATCACTCTCAAACGGAGGTTATTTTACATTTCTTAGTGCAAAGCTCTCCCAACAAGTAGAGACACACTTTACATATCGAGCTCTCCCAACAAGCGGAGACGCACTCTATCAAGTTCCCCCAACAAGAGGAGACACACTCTATCAAGTTCCCCCAACAAGCGAAGATAATTTTTAAATGCTCCGATAGCTGCAGAACGGTACACAACCCGGCTAACAAATCGAGTCAAAATCAAGTATCCCATCATCCCGATCCTAAATAATGGCTCGCCGACAGCCAGGTATCATCATTCCCACTTCATTTATTTCGCATCTTAGTATATTATGCATTGCAATATATTGTATGCATGTATTTCATCTATTTTGTAAGAACAAACACCACATCGTGGAACTTTTCTAAACAACAGATCAAACTACAACTCTATAAGGGATACCAAACCCATTAGGGGGCCAAGGTTTCAAGCTCAAGACGACTAGCAGAGCTCAAAATTTTCAAGCTATCATGAGCGCCCAATCTTCCGTTTCGCTGTATTTTCATAATACGATACTGGAAAAATTCTTGCGAGTACCACTTCCTCAGAAATATTCACTCCAGAACTATATGAGGCCTGATCCTCATTAAGCCCGAGATATGCAAGCAATTCAAAGACAGAGTTCGGTCCCAATCTCTCCAATCTGATCTTCCCAGAATCTTCCTTAACTCAATCCTGCAACTCACAATCTTCATGCCACTCCTGCAATGCATGCCTAAAATCAGGACAAAATTGGCTTTGGTTCAATTTCTTTGCCCGAAAATTCTTTCATCGTCTCCGTTCAAAGAGGGGCAGCTGTTGACGGCTAATTTTAATCCTCCCTTTTAAAATTAATTTATGTATAATTAATAATTTACAATAAATGTTTTAAAAATATTTTTTAGTAATAAATGCTTATTTAATAAATTAATTAAGTATTAGTTTTAAAATTAATCACGTAGTATTAATATTATGTAATTACAAATATGCTTACTCTTTTAAGGTTATTGAAATAACTTTTAAATACATCACATAATCCTATATAGTTAATTTAATGAATTACTCTCTAATTTCTAGTTAATTAGACTACTATATTAATAATTCAAAATTAGTATTACAATTTAGAAAACAAAGTATTTTTATAAATAATTAATAAAATTATAGGTGGTTATAATTTTTACCATATTTTATTAAAAATTGGTAAGTTTATTTAAATTAATTTTAAAAAGGGATTAAAAGACAAAAGGCTACAATTATATATATATGTAACACAGTAAGTGAATAAGTCTTAAAAAGTTTACATTTTGAGTTATTTTTTCTATAAATAAAATTATTGATATGAGCAAATTATTTGTATTGTAGTTTAGTTATTTGGCTCATTCTCTATTATTCAACATTAATTTACATGCTTGATTCACAGTTTTTTACTTTCTTTTTTGTAGTTTCAGAAATAAGATTTTATTTGTTTCACAGCTAAGTTCACAATATAGATTTAAAAAAGAGAATTGTCATGGTATTTAAAAAATTCAAAAGAGAAAAAATAATAAGGCATGTAAACAAGATATTTAAAAACTCAATTAAGATAGGTAGAAAAATATTTAGTGTTCAAAGTTAAGAAAAAATTTAATGTTTAAAGCAAATCGAGTGGCGTAATTTATTTTCTTACCTATAAAACATTAAGGGGCTTTTTGGTTTGAAGATGAGTTATGCTGTGATTTTATACTAAGATTAATTATATTGAAATTAGTTATTTTAGGATTATTTCTTATTTTAATTGTTTGGTACGTAGTATTAATTCTGAAATTATCAATTTTACTGTTTTATCCTGGGATTACTATTCCACCTTCTGGTATGTTTAATTTATTCAGGTACTATTTTAATCGTGGGATAACTTATCACAAGATTAGTAACCAAACAAAGGATAAGACGGTACCTAGTGGGTGTTTGGACACAAGAATTTTGGAGTTCCAGAAAAATTTGATTTTTTAAAAGTGAAATTGATATTTGAAAATTAGAGTTGTCTTTTGAATTTGGACATCAGTACAATTTGGAACTGTTTTTGATTTTTTCTGAGTAATTTGAAGTGAAAACTTTGAAAACAATTTTTTAAAGTTTTTTAAATTTTTGAGAAATTCCGAAATTCAACTTCAAGTGAAATTTAAATAATTTTTGGCTAAACCCTATAACAACAACAACAACATAACAAATATTATCCCACACCGTGCGATCTGGCCAAACACCTATTCCAAAAAAAATTGAATAGCCTAACGGATAATAAACTTTTATCCCAAAATTATTTTTGTTCGTCGATCGTACCCAAGTGTATTCTCTTTCGAATCCCCCCAAAACAAGTATTCTGCTTGCTTTTCTTTTTGTTTTCATTTTTTTTAAAACTTTCACTGTGATATTTTAATTGCCGTGGACAGATGGCAAGTAATGACGTCCCCTAGCTTTTTGTCAAGTTTCTAGATGTAGCGTGCAACTCTGAACCTCGTACGTTCATTTTCTTTTACTTTTATATAATGTACGTTTGCTGTTCCGCCAGATTACCAGAAGATTTAAAGCCCTCCTCGCCATTTCTCCACTTTGTCTAAAGCAATATTCTTCTTTGTCCACCGTATCTCTTGTTCAGGTAATTTGTCTCTCTTTTTCTTTTGCTTTCTCTGTGTTCAATTATGCTGAAGCATGTCTTTACAGAATTTTCAATATGGTAATTCTTGTTCTTTGGCTGATAAATTTTGATTTTCATATTTTTGGAGAAAAGAGGAGCTGAGATTTTAGGGTTTAGATTTCAACTGCGACGAAAAAGACTGATTCTTCCTCTAGTTTATTTTTGTTCCCTGAGATTTGTCTGCTTTGGTTTTTCCATGTTATAGTAAATAACTTTTTCTGCACGATTTTGAATTTTCCAAATACATGCTTTGTTTCACCCTTTTTTACCCCTTCTCCTTTTTGTTGCTGTTGTTTGCTAGCTGTCATTACTGCTATATGAGCAGACGCATATTTGTATATTTCCAGAGTGCATTTGAGGTGACAATCTTTATTTATTGTTCAGATTTTGGTGATCTCCACTTTTTTGTTGTTATTTTGTGATTGTCACTTTATCAATTTATAACAAATATTATACTGTAATAGAACAATTTCTTGTTCATGCCTTTTGCTGTGATTCAACTATACTTTTGTTTTCCTTTTGTGCTTTCTGAATTTGGGTATCCCTTGTGGCCTTTCACTCACAGCTTTTAATCAGCTGCTCATTATTTCAGCATAATGGGGCGTTTAAGTCGAACTATCTACGTGGGAAATCTTCCCGGGGATATTCGAGAGAGTGAAGTAGAAGATTTGTTTTACAAGGTTAGTTGGAAAATATTACTTACAGCTGAAAACAAGAGTTTTCTGTGCTCACCTGGTTATTACTAAGGATTTAGCATCTACTTTAATTTGCTTCTCCTATTTGTTGGGTTTTTTCTCTTAAGTGTAATCTTTATTCTTTAACTTGGGAAGGTTGGTGGAATGACTTGTCTTTTTGGGTGGAGAAGAAGTGAATAAACTCAGAGTGGATATTTCGGTTAATCTTAAAGGCTAGTTTTAGGAGTTCATGATATTTCTTATTTAGTTTAACTGTGACATGTGCAGTTGAGAGGTTCGAGTTTCTTGTGTTTCTATTGTGATGAAAGACTGGGTTGTCTCTCTCTCTGTTTTACTAGAGTGCTAATTAATTTTCTTGCATTCTCCTCTTTAATTGCTCTCCTTATTACTTTCATCCACCCATTGTGTTTAAGATGTTAAATCAGCTACAGAATTCTAAAATCATCTTTCCACTTAACATATTCTGATTCGGGATTTTAATCCAAAAGACATGCTGAGCATTGGTGCATGATAAACTTAGGCACTTGAAATTATTGTGATTCCTGTTCGGTGTCTGCATCTCGTTCAAGCTGATATTTTATTGCATTTAATTTCTAAAAGATTTCAGCAAATATGGCAACAATATATTCCGTGAAATTAAACATCGAAAAATGTTTATTTCCTTAGCATATATAAATTTACTTTTTAGGTGCTGGGACCACTTTGTTTAAGTTTCTTTCTCGCTCTTTCTCTTTGTGGGATTATACTGGGTTGTTGATGTTGTTGTTGTTGTTATTGTTGTTGTCTCGCTCTCTCTGTTTGGATATCTATGACAAATATGCTAAACTTTGAAATTGTATGGGCGAATCTCTTGCAGTATGGACCTATTGTGGAAATTGATCTGAAAATTCCGCCAAGACCACCAGGTTATGCATTTGTGGAGGTGCGTTCATTGTTTGGAATTGAATGTCAGAAACACAGCTAGTATCAATGTCGAACGACAACTGTTTATGCAGTGAGTTGTTCGTAATGTCGGATAGATCTCATATGTTCCATTCTTTATTGAGTTTCAGTTTGAAGATCCTCGTGATGCTGATGATGCCATTCGTGGACGTGATGGCTACAAATTTGATGGACATAGATTACGAGTTAGTTGCCTCTCATTTGCCTCCATTTCACCATGGTCATGATTTAGATCTTCGATTATCAGAATTTTTTGTTGTCTTTCATAATCTATGTAGGTTGTGTTGAATTATATGTCAAATTTCCATCCCACATCGGTGGGTTAAGGAGTTGGTGGGAANTTTCAAGAAGGAGAATATGGAATCATTCACACAGCGGATAACAGCCCTTTTACCTCATATGGGATTGGTTCAATACGATTAAGGAACCACGATGGAATGATCAGAACATTAACACATGTTCGATATGTACTGTCACACCTCCTTTTTGCGCGCCCGCCCCGAAGGGTTAAATGCGCGGGTGGAGTTTTTCC